TTACATATTCAGTTAATCAAAATGAAACATATCCTTATGATGCTGTAATGTATTTTCTTTCATGGACTCTATGACACCCTCTATCCCTGACTCTGCTCTATTCTATATCCCTATTTTTGCTCTTTACTGATACTAATATGCACATGGGTGCAGGAACAACTAAAAGGAAAAGAAATAGCCCTTCCAACCCCATCATGCAAGTCCACTGTGCTACCATTACGCCACCTCCAGACCCTTGCTTTTTTCCTCTATTTGCCTAACTATGAACTATATGTTATTCCACTTTTTTCCTATAAATCTATTAAATATATTTTATTTCTGAGACAGACATTGGACTCGGCCTGACCTAGGTCAAGAGGCAACGATCCCTGGGCCACAGGATCTGATAAACCATCCAGGTATTATGGACTCTCTCACCCAACAGATAACTTGCTGTTTGCTATGCTGGAAACCAGGATTTTACATTGTCCCATCATCCCCATGCCCAGACAGCCAAAGCTTGATCCAGGACAAAAACAAACAAACAAACAAACAAACAAACAAAAACAAAAAAACAAAAAAAACAAACCCTTAGATCAGCTATAGCTATCATATTTGTATCTATTACTTTCTATATAACTTCTGTCATTTTATATAATGTATCTATTTCTAAAATATGAAATGGATAAACTGCTTTATAAGATGTATCAAGGAAGCCAACTCTACATGATCCTGCAAATAATCCCCTGGGAACAGGAAGGTTAAACAAACCCCTCTGGGATTTTTCTTCCAGAGCCATCAGAACAGACTAATAGTTTCAAAGAAATGGTAATCCCCTGCCTGTTGTCTGGTTCAAAATTTCAGCCTTATACCTTTGTTTCCTAAAAACCCTGTCTTTACTTAGTATGAAACTATATACTGTGTATTTCCGGGCTGTGCCCTTCCATGGAGGTGGCTCTGTCGCTGACCGGTCCTTCGCTCTAGATCAATCCCCAGCTGCCCTTCTCCCTTGCCTACCAATCCTGGTGTGGATCCTAGCCAGCCTCTTTTCTGGCCAATTGGGGGCAGGGCAGGGAAAATTCAAACTTAAACAATGTTAACCAGATTGTATGATACTGGTTACACAGCACAATATTCTTTATGCTTGTACTTTTGGGCAGGTGCCCACATGCATCCATTCTTGGTCAGAATGTATTGAAAGCATTTTTGTCTTCACATCTGGTGAGTCTTTAATATGGAACTCTGATTATTAATTTTGGTCAGCAAAGTTTGCTAGGTTATTCCCTCATATAATTCTAATATAAATTCAATATCATTTTCAGAAAGCTTTTTTCAGTAATGGACATTTCTAGATGATTTTGCTAAAGTAATCTATCTGGAAGGACCAAAGTAGATTTCTGCACCTTTTTAGCCCTGTACATGTTAAATGACAACCCTCAGCATAAGGCATACCAGATGGGGTTGTGGGAGTTGTTGAACAGGTTGGGATGGGCTAAATGGAGGCATATAGAATGGTGAAAAATTCATTACCATTAGCACAAAGCACAATGCTAGATGGGGCCTAAATGCCCTGAAAGCATAAGATCCTATCTGATCTTGGAGTTAAGCAGGGTCAGTCCTGGTCAAGTACTTGCATGGGAGACCATCAACAAATATCAGGTGCTGTAGGCTATTTTTCAGAGGAATTCACTTGGAAAACCACCTCTATGTATACCCTTCTAAAAGCAATACTTCTGAAATTCATGGACTACCAACAAATACACAGAATGCTGAGCAACTACTGATTTTGGAGCAATTTCGTTTCACGAGTCCCTTTTCTTACAATAAGTATTGCTTTTCACAATGACGGAAGATTTGATGCCATAGCAGCAATGTTACAATTGCCTATATATGACTTTAAGCCCCATTTAAACCCCTAAATCTGCTCTGAAATCCTAAATCTAAAGGTTCACTGTTACCTTTCTAAGTGCCTCTATTCCTGACCCGCAAAGAAGCTGAGAGGGAGGCTGGAGACTGGTAGAAACCATTTTTCCCCTTAAGAAGCAGCCCTTTCTTTCATTTGGCTTCTGTAAAAAATTGGAAACCAAAGAGGGGGAAAATATGTTAAGACACTAAAATATTGCAAGATAAATGAGGTGGATTTCATCCAGCCATTGAGCAGATGCTTGTATCTTCATTGTTTAACAGCTTGTGCTTGTATTATACAAATAGTATTAGTACCTTTTGTGGAAGCTCTAAAGGCTGGTTTTTCTACAGGGAAAAAAACTGGAAAAAACTGTTCTGTGTTATGGGAACTGTTAAGCACTTTTGAGAAAGAAAAGTGGCTATACAAGCTGGAGAAGCAACTGAGCAATCCAGTACAATACACAAAGGAAGTGCTTTGTGTTTTGTATTTTACTTCCAGGAGATGGCACTATTTGGCAGGCACTCAGCTGTTGGGGACAGATTATACCAAGTGATAAATAGGGCAGTTGGGGACAGATTTATTAGGAATAGAAAGCCCTATTTGAGCTATTATTAAATTGTATCCTCAGGAAAAGGAAGAACATACATGCCTACCTTGCCACCATGTGTGTTGGGCACCATCTCCCATGACAGCTTGGAAATGTTACCTTTTGAACTATAACACCCCAAATCATCCTGCCTCTTTGGGGATTCTGGGAGCAGTTATACAAAAAGTAGCTTTTCCAGTCTCTGTCTCTGAATGGGAAAGTTTGATGAAGGATTAAAGGCATGTTTGTCTGGAAAGTAAGGGTACCTGCTCCTTACTCAGTCCAAAATATTCTATCAAGAGTTAGGGTGCATCAACATTGTAGAATTAATGCAGCTTGACAGCACTTCAACTGTCATGGTTCACTGGGAATTGCAGTTTGGTGAAGCACCAGCACTCTTTGGCAGAAAAGGCTAAAGCCCTATAAAGCTTATGAACACTGGCTTTGGTCATGTGGTTTCAGACATCCCTCCCTCCCTCAAAAAGATTCCCAGTGATATTCTACCAGGAAACCTGGGTCACACAGGTTTCCTGATATAATATTCTCTTTGCCTCTGGGACCCCATCTACACCACCATATAATGCAGTTTAACTGCACTGAACTGGACTATATGAGTCCACGCTGCCAAGGGCAAGATGGATGGATAGTATCCTTGAAGTGACTGACTTGACCTTGAAAGGGCTGGGGGTGGTGACGGCTGACAGGGAGCTCTGTCATGGGCTGGTCCATGAGGTCACAAAGAGTTGGAAGTGACTGAACGAATAAACAACAACACACTGCCATATAATGCAGTTAAATGCAGTAGAACTGCATTCTGAAACTGCATTATATAGCAGAATAGATGGGGCCTGAGAAGGCTTTAACCTCCTTCCTCAGTGTAGGAAATAAAACTTAATGTTTCCAAGTCTGTCTGTCAACTGTTATTTTTGGTTAGTATCTTTGGCTGTTTAGTATCTTTGTCTTGACAAAACCGTGTATGTGATAGTTTTCTCTTTCAAAGGCACAGATATTTCCTTGAAGAATACGGCAGTGACTGACCCCATCTACACTGCCATATAATGCAATTTCAGAATGCAGATTAACTGAGTTATATGGCAGTGTAGACTCATATAATCCAATTCAACCTGCATTATATAAGCCACTGTCCGCAGTGCTGGACGAGAATTTTGGGAGTCCAGGGTTTGAATCCCTCAGCTTCAGAAGAAGGCAGTAGCAACCCTCTCTGAACAAATTATCAGTTTAGAGTTGCTATAAAATGGGGGGGGGGGGGATGGGGACCATCACCTGGATAGGATCAAGATTGAGTCATTTCTATAGGTACCTTAACAGAAGCCTCTAGTAATCAGTATGTCAGTATGCACACAAACACAGAATTCCATAACYASCATGCTACAATTTGTTGGTTTCAGCTTTATTGTGACACAAGAACAGAGAATGCTGAGATAGGTTAACATTCTAGAAATCTTCTTTTCTCTTCTCAGTTAAAATTGGGTCTTACATGAAGGATCTTCAACCCAATTCCTTATTCCAAATGGATAAACTCATGAGTTGTTGCTTTGTTGCACCTCAGAAAAAACATCTATCTGATACTATACAGTCTCCATTGATCTTTCCTCTGTCAGGTTCTGAAGACTGGAATGATTTCTTATTTACACAGAGGTAAGATGATAAGAGGGGTACCCCCAGTGGCACAGTGGGTTAAACTGCTGAGCTGCTGAACTTGCTGAGCAAAAGGTTGGTGGTTTGACTCCGGGGAGCAGGGTGAGCTCCCGCTGTTAGCCCCAGCTTCTGCCAACCTAGCAGTTTGAAAACATGCAAATGTGAGTAGATCAATAGGTACCGCTCCAGCAGGAAGGTAACAGCGTTCCATGCAGTTATGCCAGCCACATGACCTTGGAGGTGTCTATGGACAAAACCTGGCTCTTTGGCTTAGAAATGGAGATGAGCACCAACATCCAGAGTTGGACATGACTGGACTTAATGTCAGGGGAAAACCTTTATCTTTACTAAGATAATAAGAAGCCATCCACTGTATGGGAAGCTCTCATGGTGTTCAGCGACATGTGCCTGATTCAGGGACCACTGGTGGGTCTTGATGCTACAAGGGGTAGCAGTTTTCACAGTTGCTTTTCCCAAGTATTAAAGTCTCCCCAGTGTCAAACATCTTTCATGAATAAGATCGAAGACAATTCAGACCAGCTTGCAGTGGTCATAAATTCAACAGTGAATTGAACATGGCAACAGATCTGTTATCTATGGCTCAATATAGCACTGAACTATCCTTTAAAAATGATTTCTCTGTTTGTTGGGCTGTGTGGTCCAGACATTCAGATCCTAAAAAGGAAGAACAGGGTCTTATCAGCAGTCCATTAACACCTGATACCTGGATAGGAACTAATCAGACACACAGGTAAGCTAGTCCCAGCTGTCTTCACTATCAGTTTATTTATATTTAAATTAAAACAATTATCTCAAAGTTTGCATTTGTCTTTGAGAATTAGCATGGTATAGTCATTTGACTGTTGAACCATGACTGGAGACCCATTGGCCATGGAAACCCACTGGGTGATCTTGGCCAAGTCATATTTCCTTGGCCCCATGGGAAGGCAAAGGCCTGTGAAACAATCTTGCAAACTAAAAATCCTTGATCTGTTCAGCTTAAGTTTGCCATTTGTTTGAAATGACTTGAAGGCACACCACAACAACCGCATTTGTCCACATCATTAATTTGTGTATGTAATATTATAAATTGGCATGCAAATCAGCATCATTTGTCTTTCTTTCTTATTAATTAGTATATATAAAATTAATTAGCCAATGTAAAATTTATGCAAATATGTCTGTTTTTCTTTTTGATGATGCAAACCTGGTGATCCTGATTTATGAAGTTATGCACAATACTGAACAGGCAACCTACTTATTGATTGATTTACATTATTTCATGCCTTGCAGTTTTTACCTCAGAAGGGCAATAACCTTCCCTTTCATCCTTTAAAAGATGCACATTATTTATGTGACTCCTTGTTGTTTTCCCCCTCCCAACTAAGTCACATTGCTTGCTTTCTTTATAGTATTGTCAGAATCAGACCTTTTTAAAATCTGCTTCCTCTGCAAAGACTTTAGTTCATGTCTTGGTCATTGCCTATCTTAATTTTTATAATCCTTTTTTTTTTACTATTCTTGCATTAGATCATCCTAGGGCTTGTCTGTACTGACCCTATAATCTCATCAAGCCAGATGTTCCTCCTTGATGTCCAGACAACATCCAGAAATGTCTGGATGGTTACATGGGCAAAACAGTTAATCCAGTTTTACCCAGCATTAGGAATGTGGGGCTACTCTGGAGTTTCACACTCTGGCTTAGAGTGGATTGCTGGACCGGTGCTAATTAGAACTAGACTACTGCCCGTATGGCCAGACACAACAACACAGGGAATGGGGGACAGATCGGGGCCACACCACTCTCCTGATTGTCTGTTGACACAAGGGATCACCAAGATAAGGTGACAATTCAGCAGGGCCAAACCAAATTCTGCCCCACTGGATGGTCTGACTCTGATCCACCACTGCTGCGAGATGGAAATGGGCAAAGTAGCAAGTCCCCCAGGACCAGTTTGGAGTATTGTTATTCTAGACCAGCCTCAGACTGAGAACAACACACTCATGAAAAAATAATAATAATACAGGTCAAGTATTCCTTATCCAAAATGTTGAGGTCTAAAAATTGGTTGGTTTCTTGATTACTTCACATTTTGGAATACTGACTAGCCTGGTTGGCATCTTCACTCTATGATCTCTAGGCTTCTCAATCCAACCAAGAGATTCCTCTTTTTTAGTTCAGCTTCATCATTTTTCATTTGCTGCTTCATATTCCTAGAAATTCTTCCCTCATTATCTTACATCTCAATTAAAAACGTTCTGGTTTTCCAAAACTTTTGGAGTTATAGTTGTATTTAGTTAGATAGACTTATATATTTTGATTAGCTTGTTCTTGTATTGTATTGGTTTTTATGTTTGTATTTGGCAGCCAGATTTGTCACAGGTAGATCTAAACAAGGCCATATTACACAAATATTAAAATCACTATACTGGCTGCCAATTAGTTTCCAGGCAAAGTGTTGGTCATTACCTTTAAGGTCCTATACAATTTGGTTCAAATTACTTGAAGGATTGTACCTGCACCTTCTCCTATATAATCTGCCTCATGCACTCAGATCCTGCGGGAGACATTTCCTTTAGCTAACCAAGACCAGACTGACAATTGTCAACCAGATGACTTTCTTCAGCCACCCCCAAATTGTGGGGTAATCTGACTGGAAGAGGTTTTAACAGCTGAATACGATCTCTGAATTTAAAACAGTATTGAAGATTATTCTCTTCTGGCAGGCCTATCCAAATGATTTTTAAATTATAGATTTTAAAGTATGACCTGATTGCTTTTTAATATGTATTGGTTTTATGTGCTCTTTTAACTTGTATTTATTTTAATTGATGCTGTATTTAAACCTATTGTTGCTTCCTGCCGGAATGAGCTTCGTGTATTCCAAGTAGACTGGAACGTACTTAGTCCTAATCTTTTTTTTATACTGGTTTTAAACCACTTCATTGGATGTGTTGCAATAGCAGATTCCCAGATTAGTTTAGTGTTTACACCTTATTTTATTTTTCTGGTTATTTAATATTTAATGTTTATTTTACTTAAGTGATATTTGTCTTGACTGTTCTAATGTAGCACAAATCCTATGTAAAATCATACTACGTATTTTTGACATTAATATTGAAATCTGAAATATATACTGAACGTCCATAACATTATTGTAGTTGTTCCTCTTATTATTATGGGTTCCTAAATTGGTTAACAAAAGATAATCTAAGAATGATATAAAATACTATATGCCAATATAAATAAATATGTTCAACAAATGCAGAGTGTTTTGCCTGTACATTTACATGTTTGGTGGCAAGATACTATTAGTGTATCACAAAAGCCTTCTAAAGAGCCTTGTTTTGAGTTATTTGAGCCATTTGGATTATGTGATTTTAATGTTTATACTAAGATGTTTTAATTCTATGTTTTAATGTCTAATTGTTTGTTTATGTTTCATGTTTTAATATGATTGTTCTGTCGCGTGCTGGGCTTGAAACGAATTGCTTTTAAAACAGGACATGCAACTTTAGCCCAGCGGGAAGCCAGGGGGCCCGAAGAGAAATTCGTAAGGATTTTCACCATAAACAGTCTCTGGAGGGCTTGTAAAATATAACAAAGTCTTTTGTTAGTGAACAATCAACAGAAACTTCTTTTGTCTTCAAAAGGATAAACAAATGCTTCCAGGCTTTGTGTAACTGGTGACTTCTGTTACTTTTACTCTCAAGGAAAATCCCTTTCTAAACTTCTCCCAGGCTAACTGTGATCCTAAACCTAACTGATGTGGATCCACTACCGGGCTGAACTGAGTCTCAAAACCGAGTGGACCTACCAGTAGGCCTGTAGTCACTTAGCTGGAGTTCTTGATGTTCAAAGTTGTTATTCCCTCCGAAATTCCTCTGGGCTGTAAGCCTGTTTCCCTGGGAACCTTTGGGAATCTTTAGATGCTCTTAAGACTGTTCTCCCCCAGGAGATCTTAAAGGTTGAAGCTTTTGTACAGGAAAAAGTCTGTACACATCCTGTACATTGACTTTCCTTGTTGAGACTGACTAAAAATGGCTCCCTTCCCTTCTCAATTGTCCTCAACAGGGGGCCTGCCCTATAACTGCAAACTTTAGCAGGAAGCTACCCTTCTGCAGAATCCCAAGCCTTGGGCTGCAAGCAAACACTTAATACAAGGCAAATAAATTGGGAGCTTCTGGTACAGCTGTACCAGCACAATGATTAATAGTATTAATTTATAGTTATATGTTATTGTCTAGATATTATGTTTTGGTTTGGAAGGCCCTTATTACCAAGATTTTGTCAGTTACCTGGTGGTAAACTGTATTAGATATATTTCGGCGGAACCCAGATTTTCTTTACAAATCCCACATTCTGTGCCAAAAGGTGCTCTTTAGTTACATGAAACATATAATACAAATTATTACTATGTTATGTAAATAATTCTTAAACTTCTAATTGATTGTTTATAGTGGGTTCAGTTCATATTCATTCATGTTTGGAGGAGAAATCTATGGACTTTAAGTTAAACATAACTAAACTGGATCTAATTCATTTTAACGAGCCTACTAAGGGACCTTCCACACAGCCCTATATTCCAGAATATCAAGGCAGGAAATCCCACATTATCTGTGTGTGGACTCAGATAACCCAGTTCAAAGCAGTTATTGTTGGATTTTCTGCCTTGATATTCTGGGTGTGCATCCAGACAGCCCCTTTATTGTGGAGACTTCTGTAATAAAAAGATGATATTCTGGGCAACCCACAATTAATTTGCCACAAACCAGAAAAACCCTGGTTTGTGGTGAATTAATTAGATAATGGATTAATTCCATGCCTTCTTGGAAGGTGCAGGATAAACCCACTACTTCTGGTGTCTGGACTGCAGTCCGGACACCATTACCACAGTTTTCTGGACTAAATTAGTATAGAAAACTGGGGGAACCCCAATCCCTCTCCCAAAGCTCCAACCCCCTTTTAAAAGTAAGGAAAACTTACCCAGCCTCCAAGTAGAGTGTTGCTGGAGCTCTCCTGATGAGTAAAAATGATACACCAGGATGGGGGGGGGGGGGGGGGGGGGGGGGGGGGGGGAGGAGAAGGAAAATTTCTCCCCCCCCCCCTTCCTGGCAGATCATTTCTACACTCCGGGAGAGCTCCAGCAACACTCTACTTGGAGGCCGGTAAGTTTTCCTTACTTTTAAAAGGGGTTTTAGAGCTTTGGGGGGGGGGGGGGTTGAGTCTCCAGGCGTTCTCCTGGGCCAGTCCTGGAAGAACATCTGGACACCCACCTCATACGCAGTGCTTTCTGGGGTGTGTGTAGATAGAGACCCAGGAACATCCATGTTTTTTAAATGCTCCTGGGATAAAGGGCTCTGTGGAAGCACCTTGGGTTATATGGTTATGTGGAAGGGCCCTGAGTGAACTTGATGGTGGAATAAATATTTAAAACACAGAATTTGGCTTGGCATTCTTCTCACAGCCATCAGCTAAATGACAAAATAACATTCATGAATATACACTATTATCTGTTTTGTCGATCTGTCCTGTTTCCCTAAGTGTTGGCTTACAGTGACAGTTTCATAGGGTTTTATTGGAAAGACTTAGTTAAAGGAAGTTGGCTGTTGCTGCTTTCTAAGGCTGGGAGAGGGTGACTAGCCCAAGGTCACCCAATATTGTCTCCACGGCTAAAGAACAATTTGAATTTTTTCTTCCCAGAATTCTAGTTCAGCATTCAAGCCGGGTCACAATGCTGGCTTTTTCTCCCTTGGTGTACTTTCTTTCAAATTCTGCATCCAGCAGGCTCCACTTTTGTTAAGACATATTTCACCCACAAATGCCTAAAGTATCATTCAAGCCATTATCAGACAGCCTTGTGTTTTGCACAACACTCATGTTAAAAAACACTGAGGGCTGCATACAGGATTTTTCCCCAGAGTATTATGGCCGAAGACCAAAAGCTATTGGTATCGGCATATAAGTCAGCTACTAGCTTGATTTAGGGTTGCTTTGGGAATGGCTATGTTCTTCCATTGCCATGAAAGGATGGGAGGGAAATAGTCCCTGCAGGGTAGTTCAGTGTCAGTTTAACTGTTGTGATTTACTGAGATCCTGCAGATGTATAAAAAAGACAATTCTGGGGAAGAAGAGAGATTGAGACAGAAAAAGAGAGATGATATTTCAGGAACCGAAAGAAATATGTCTAAACAATCTTGCTGTGTTTCTCCACGAGTGTGTCACACACTCATCCCGACTCGGGAATTCTAGAAGTTTTAGACCAGAGAAGTAACTTTTTCAAATGTTGGCACTATGTTTAATAGTCCAGCATCTTATTTTGTCACAGATACATTGCAGAAAGCCTTTCTGTGCTGAACTTGATTTTAAAACATGGTGGATGATGGCAATATTTCTTTTTTCTACTCAGTAAGAATTAATTTGAATTTTGTTTATAAAAACATTAGGTAAAGGTAAAGGTTTTCCCCTGACATTAAGTCAAGTCGTGTCCGACTCTGGGAGTTGGTGTACATCTCCATTTCTAAGCCAAACAGCCGGCATTGTCTGTAGACACCTCCAAGGTCATGTGGCCAGCATGACTGCATGGAGCTCCATTACCTTCCCGCCAGAGCGGTACCTATTGATCTACTCACATTTTCGCATGTTTTCGAACTGCTAGGTTGGCAGCAACAAGACAAGTTCAAGTGTTAATTTAAAAAGCTTAGTAAAACGAGGGAGAACATTTCTTACGTTGTTCACAGCCACCAGGTTTGAACAAAGTGGCCCTAATCCACAAATGATTGTTACCTATTTTGGTATTTCTTATTAGAAAGAAAGGTTGGTGTCACATTCCACAAATAAAATAAATACTATAACATTCTTTTTTTGGAGTTGAATTCTTCTAATTTCCTTATAGCGTAGGAGGATATGGGGCACTTTTCACTCTCAGTTCTTTCTCTGTGCTTCATTGGCCACAATACTTCTGTGTATTGGTTGTACATTGGTCCAGAAGGTCAGTTGGAATTGATGCAATGTCATTTATGATCTTTATTTTGGTTGGTGTTACTAAATGCAAAGGCACAAGAGTTCTGAAAGGCATGAGAGGGTTTTGCATCTGTTTTGGGGTTTTCATGGTTTAGAGGTGAGAACTTTCCCCATTTTTTATTTTAATGTTCCAGAAGATTCTGTGTAGGAGGGAATTGGAATGTGAGCTCTTCCTGTAGCTGATATTTTATTTTATCTTGCTCTAGCAGTGATTCTCAACCTGTGGGTCCCCAGGTGTTTTGGCTTACAACTCCCAGAAATCTCAGCCTGTTTACTAGCTGATAGGATTTCTGGGAGTTGAAGGCTAAAACATCTGGGGACCCACAGGTTGAGAACCTGCTTGAAAGTATTATGCACCAGTTTGAATTCCAATGGTCTTTAGGGCAGTGTGGACAGATGAAGATGGGAGATAAGGTGGTGAAAGACCTCTAGAGGTCACATGGGAGCTGTGAAGTGACCCCCTCACCAAATCTACATCAAGGGATCTGCACATTGGGGATCTGGAGTTCTTGCCCAGATCTCCAGCAACTGAGGCCCCTTCTACACTACCATATATAATCCAGATTATCTGCTTTGAACTGGATTATATGACAGTGTATACTATTATAATCCAGTTCAAAGCAGATAATCTGGATTTTATGTGACCGTGTAGATGGCGCCTATCAGTCAGATCATCACAGTATTTATAAACCTCATGTTATCTCTCTCTGTCTCTCAAATGTCTTTGTTATTTTATATTTAAAGACAACCATCTTTCTTTTTGGGATAGGATGAAAATAATAAAGATGAGTAATCTTCTCTAACTTTTCCGGGCCATTTACATGCAATTTCCCTGTCAAGTTTCCCACTGATCAAAATATTAAAGAACCCCCAAACCTTAGAGCAGTGCTGTGCTGTACTGTATTTCATATTTTACAATATGTTGTATTATATTTATTTACAGCCCACTGTTCAAATAAATTCCCAGGACAACTTACAATAAAAAGTCACACATAAATCTTAAAAACCAAGTTGTATGATGTATTTCAAAATGCTTTTGATATACAGGCAGTCCCTGAGTTACAAACATCCGGCTTACAAAGAACACATAATTAAGAACAGAGGTGAGACATCAGGAAATGAAATTCACATTTGGAAGAGTTATCATGGGAAAAAAGGTGTCTCCACTGATTTTTTTTCAAAATCCAATTATCAAAGGGACAGAAAATGAATGCGATTTTCCTGCTTCTTAGCAGGGGGTTGGACTGGATGGCCCTGAAGTCTCTTCCAACTCTGTGATTCTATGAAGTGAAATCTTCTGAACAGGGGCACAGACAGCAAAACAAATGCCACAGGAGTGTGAACACTTCTCTGTTCTTTCCTTACCATATATAAATATTGGTGAGGTTTGGGGGTGATTGAGTCATGATTTTGAGAATTGTAGTTCACCAAATATAGTTACAGTTACACTGAAAAAATGTACCTGTTCTGAATTACAAATTCAACTTAAGAGCAAACCTGCAGAACCTCTCTTGTTTGTAACTTGGGGAATGCTCGTACTCACATTTCAACATAATTTTCTGAGTTCCTGTTTGAGATGCTCCCACACCAAGTTTTTTTTTAATGTTGGGAATACCCCATTGAATATGAGCAAGTAAATGCTACTACTGATTGTCTGCATGCATACACAGACAAACCCATGGGATTTCTCATGCAGAAAAATCTATGGAGATACTGCATACTAACCTGGAGTGCTATAATCACTGATCTTTTCTTTCTTTATTGAAGACCAAAGCAGGTTTTTGAGGGGTCTCTTTCTATTTCACAAGTTCTTTACAATACAAATGAGGAGACGTGCCAGAAAGAAGGGCAACAGTTACTAAGAAACAAAGCACTAGAATACTTAATTTCTTTTTTTGTCTTATGTAGACTAAAGATTGCTAGGTTTATGAGCTACCTTGCTGAGACACCATAGGTTACCTTTGATTTTAGTGTGTGTTTCCTTTTCATCAGGAGCCAAATCTCTACAGAGCCTGTGACAACTCAACCCAGTCCTACAGGTGCAGCTACATCCAGTATCACTACCATCATACATACTGGAGGCAACTGGTCTACTGGCTTGTTTGATGTCTGCAGTGACAAGAAAGTTTGTAAGAGTTGATTTGTTCCTTTTCAATATTTTTTCAAGGCTGCATTCCCTTGAGACTTGGGAAGAATAAGGTATTTTTATAGATGTTTTACGAGACTGCTAACTGAAGAACCTGCTGTTGGCAAAACAATGAAACTGAGATGCTATGTTGGAGTGAAAATAAAAAGCAGGCCTTGATTCCATGTCCCAGTACTGGCTGATGCCTACCAGATGGGTTAGAGCTCTGCTATTAAGGTGAAGGTCCTTGAGCCATGGGCTAATCATCCTAAGAGATTCTAGGAAGGAAAGAAAAATAACTGCAGTTAACTGTCAAAAATATGGTGCTTGTCCCTGGCACATGGGGAAAAAAAACACAACAACTGCTAGTTCCCCATATCACGACGGACTGTGTTAGACTAGAACTAGCATCCCCATCTGGGATAGGTTGGTTTGTGTCCTCAACTACCCCACATTGTAATACCACTCAAGAGGCAGATGGCTTGTTCTCTTAAAGAGTCCACTGTGCTAAATCTCATTTTGGACACATCCAAAATAATTTATCCTCAGAAACAAGTCTCCTGGGTTCATTAAAAGGTTTTCTCCTGGGTAAGTCAGTATAGGATTGCAACCTTAATTGTGATAAACTGAACAATCACCCAAATACTAAATTGAGGACTTCAAAATTTGCTCCTGCTTCTTTTTTCATTTGCAGTAAACAAGATGAAACAATCAATTTCCACCCATGCAGATATACCCATGCTGTAGTGATTTATGTGGGTCCCCCAGACATATAATTTTGTGGATATTCAGTGTGAATCTAGGTATCATCATCCATTAACAGCATTTTTGTGGTTGTGCTTAATGTTAGGTTTGTGCGGTTCATTGTGCTTCCCGTTCTTAGAATGCAGTCTTGCAAGCCGCCATGGAGAGTGCCTTTGTTTTCCACTGTTGCTGGGCTCCACCATGGCATTAAGAGCTGGCACCAGAGAGAGATATAAAATACATGTAAGTCTATGTAAGTATTCTATCCCACTCCCACAATGACAGGTCTTATCAATTCCACCTTAACTCATGCATGATACAGTCTGCAGACTTAGTTTAAAATGTCTTGACATGGTAGAGAGCAAGGTGGGTAAAGCTTGCTAATGAATACTGGTGACTTGAAATCTTTGCAAAGGTGAAAAGTTCAGTTGAGGCAGAGCATAAAAAAAATCTCAGAGCTTCATACCAGTACAAATATTTGCCATTATTCTCATCTTTCTGAATGTCCCCCATCTTCGCTCTGTGTGGGGCTCAGATCTTTTTTACTGCTAGCACTATGCCTGCCAAAATGAGAGCAAATACATTAAGCTCTTAAAACAGCTGTTCCTGTAGCCCAGCATTTGTTTATAATTGCCAAACAAATTCCATGTTTTTACAACATTGAGTAAAAGTACCTTTATTTTTCTTCACTTTAGTTGCAAAATTGCATTGCCCACAAGTCCGTAGGAAGGGGAAAAAACACATTTGCCATGAAATCATGTAAATATACTATGCTTTCCCATTCTGTCTTTGGCACACTATCCAGCAAAACTTTTCTAAGTAGTGAAGAGCCTGCTGGGATTAAGATCAGAGAGGCCAGGAACAAAACCTGTGGATGTTGCTGTGATAAATGTGCTAGGCACCTAGATCAGGCGTGTCAAAGGCTGTATAAATATAACTATGTTGTCCTGGCATTGGAAGCTTTGCAGGCCACATAAAATGAAGTGGCAAGCTAGGGTCAGCCTGTGGGCCTTGCGTTCGACATGTGTGACCTAGACTGATCACTGGAATATAGTATTCAGATATCATATAACACCTGATTTGAAGGAATTGTACTGGCTCCCAATATTTTTCCATTGTATGCTAGCAATAATATTTTAAAACATAAATGACTTGAGACTTCAATACTTCTGAGAGCACTTGCCTCTATATATCCCTGCCTGAGAACTGAAATCTATTGAAGGGACATTCCTCTATGTCATCTCAGTAGGGGAAGTACATTGTGGAAGGACATGAGAGAGGGTCTTTTCTGCAGTGGCACCCTAGGCATTGAATTCCCTCCCTCAGAGGCCTGATTGGTGCCAACAATTTAATTAATTTGGTGCCAAATTAAAACATGGCTTTTAATCAAGCCTTCAAGCCAAACTGAGTGTTTTGTGTTATATTACTCAATAATGTTTTAAGCAGTTTTATAGTGTCTGTTTTTAATGAGAAACTGCTTAATATATTGTTTGCTTTTAAACATTTGTAATTATTTATTGAAGTTTATTGTGTGATAAACTGGCATGTTATCTTTGGATAAAAAGTATTCAAACAAACAATTATTTACATACATAATCAACCATAGAGCAAGAAATCACAATTACAGAAAATTCTGTGTTGAAGTATACTTTAAAGCAAGAGTGGGGAAGACACAGCCCACAGATTGCATCCAGCCCTTAGGACCCCTAAGTAAGGCCTGTGGAAGCCCCTAGAAGTCCCCGGACCTTGGGAACTTCATGATCCCTAATAAATGGGTCAGCAGCACTTTGCTGGGCCATGCTGAAAGAGCAACACTGCAATTTTGTTTACCATTTCCTTTTTAAAAATGGCAAATCTCAGAAAACACTGCTGTAGATACATTGTTTCTATATAGATGTAAAATGCATTCAGACATTTGCTATCCAAATTTGGGGTGGTGGGATATGTTAGTTCTCCCCTTTCACAGTTTCAGTCATTGCCTTCACATGAATGTGAAGAGCTTTGGCTATCTGTGGAAGCTCTCCTCCATGCATACTAAAACATTGAAAAACTATGGACACCATATCTGATCAAGACAACCTGGTTAATGTGGGGAATTATCTGTAGCTTCTCTCTTTATTTTTAAGGTTTGAATGTGGCAACGAACTCACATAGAGGGATTCTAATTAGATCAGCACTTAGTGACATGGAAAAATGTTTTCTCAGGCATCCTAATGGAGATACTTTCTCTTCCTGTTTTTCCCCAGGGAACACTCTGTGAAGACTGGATGGCAGTTCATTGCTGCTGGCCTTTTGCAGTCTGCCAAATGGCCCGAGAAATGAAGAGGAGACCTATATTCCAGCTCTACAAAGTGCACCGATCTTCTATGCCGCCTCCATTCAGAAGTGCCCTTGTTTAAAAACTTCCCAAAGAGCATAAGTCATATAATGTTTTCCCCCAGAATGTTGATTTTTTAATGTAATACATTTCTTTATTTATATTTTTCTCAGGGTAAGATTTCTTTCACTCCCTCCACCATGCACCTTTTTCTTTTCCAGGGAAGGGTGTTAAGTAACAGCCTAATTCCAAAAGGAGTAGGCTATTTAGTAGATTAGAATGCCAGTCAGAGCAGAGCTGCCTTCAGGATTGACACTGCCAGGCATCTACTGAGGCTAATGGTGTGCAGCTTTCTAGCTTCTCAGAATAAAATTAAAGGCATCATTTTAATTGTCCAATAATATTACTTTTAAGAAATAAGATAATTATATGGCAATAGGTGGAGTTCATTCTGACGCGAACATATGGAAACTGACATAGACTAAGGATAGATGCCCAGTGGAGTTTATTTTCTGCATTTCAGATAACAAGTTGATTTATTGAAGAGCTTGTACAGCACAACGGCTAGGAAGGAACTGTAACCCCAAAAGTCTCAGCTTCACTACAAGTTAATTAGGCAATGCACTTTATTCCAACCTCACATTTCATCTGTAATCATTAGACAGCAAACATCTTAGCCTACAGTATGCAAAGGGACTTTGTAACTCTTTGGAGACTTTTATCACCTTATTACATTGAGAAATTTTGCAGGTGTAGCACACTTTAGCTTCTTTTCAAGCATGGAGAGCTCATCACATGAGTTAAACTAGGGGGAAGTGTGCTGAAAGGAGGGAACTTTGGCAATCTGACCTCATCACGTTGAGAAATTTTCCCCTCGTAGTACACTTCAGCCTCTTTTTGAGCATGGAGGGGCACGGAGCTCATCACATGTTCCAGGATTGAAAAGAGGCTGAAATGTCCTGAAAGGAGGGAACTCTGAACATGGGCCAGCAATCGTGCCCAGAGCTCCTACCTCTTACCACACTTTACTCACATCTTGACAATTGAAAAAACAGGTGTGATGCTGTCAGCAGTCTCTTGTATCCTATGGGGTTCAATGCAGAACAATAGGCTCTCGTGGAAAGCAATGGTTTAAACCCGGATCACTGTTTCTTTTATCCTATGGAGTTCAGGGCAGAACAATAGGATTTCATTGAAAGAAGTGGTTTTAAACTGGTGCCAGTCACCTTTAATGTAAGGGACTTTGGGCAGGGCAAGGGAGCTCTTGGTTTTCGGATATTGTTGTATCTCCTGGTTTTAAAAAAAGATAATACTTACCGTGTGATGAATGTAAATTTATTGGCAGCTCTTAAGTTTCCACATGTGAGTGTGATGGGGAGGCAGAACTCAAAATGGGACTGCTGATGATATAAGAGGGGTGAATCTTTACTTTTAAAGGGACGGTCACCCATGCTTTCCCTTCTCAATGTGATAAGGTATAGTGAGAAAATTAAGTTGCTGCCACTGGTTTTCAAAGACATAGAACACATTTACATATGGAAAATACCATGGGAGTGAATGAGAATTGCTTTATGACATCCACATGACACATGAAGCCATCTTGTCAGGGGATGCTCTAAAGCTTCCTCGAAGCTCCAGAGCAGCACTGGACTTCAGGGTCTATGTGAACATGAGAGTCAGTTCTGAATTGAAATTGGCCCTGCTGCCCACATGCTCATCCTGCTTTCCATCATGGGTACAAGAGGGTGGCACTTACCTCTGTTGCCATTTGTCACCACAGTGCTGCAGAGAGTTCCTAGTCATTGCTAATTGCCTTTGCTGATGTTAGCAAAGGTACTGTGGGACTTGTAGAGGAGATTGAGAAAGGAGAGGGATCACTCCTCCTTCCCCCCTCCCTTCTTCAAGTTATGTGGCACATTTACTAATGTGACACATGAATTTTCTGGGGCTGAGAATGTGTGACTTGACCAAGACCTCCCAGTGGGTTTCCATGGCTGAGCAAGGAATTTAATCCTGGTCTCTGGAATTATAGTGAAATTCTCAAAGCATTACACCACACATTTTCTCTTATGTTCTCCTTCCACAAATGGATAGTTTTGATATTTTTTTTCTAGAAAAATCAAAGCAATTTTCAGAGGAAATGAGCTATTTGTTTCCTCTTTTCACCTTATTTAACAAAAACTAGGAAGCATGCCTATGGTTTAAAGCTCACAGGGTTAAACTACTTAAGGATTCCTAGGTCTTTCAGCTGTTATACAAGCAATTACCCCTGACAAATGATTTGATGCAAACTCTCTAGCTCTGTGGCAATTCATTACCTCAATGTATAAGATGAGTTTAAATTCTGCTCATCATGAACGCATGCTACTGCTCATTGTACTGGGCCATTTGCTGTAATTTGCTACATTTGGTGCACTTCTGCAAGGCTTACCCCCTCCAGTCCCACATTACTCCTAAAAAACAATTCAGTTTTGCTTTGTGTTTCGTACCTAGAAAGCCCTTTTACATAACAAAAAATGTGAAGGTGTCCAAGAAAAGAAAAATGTATAAGAAGTAGCTTGTCAGCATGAGGTGACAACTGAGCATGTGCATTTCAGTGCCAGAGCAGACCCAAGTAACTGTGTCTTCAGATGATCACAAAGAAATCAGAGTTGGCTTCTGAGCAATTTTCTATTTCTTTCTGAGGGAAAAATGTAACAGGTTCACTACATGGAACATCAGCTTTGCTGTCCAACACTGAGCAGATGCAATATGATGGAAAAGGCCTCTTTCCTGCCATTGGCATCTCCACTAAATAAGTGGGATTCTAAATTCTGAACTAGGAGAAGAGGGCCTTTGGTTTTTCCAGGTATTTTAGACTTGGAAACCTAATGCACAGGCCTACAAATTGGACATGTAAAATTATGTGTGGTATAGTATTTGAAGTACCCTTTCCCTAGGATTACTAGAACATATGCATTGGTTTGAGTGTTGGACTATGATTCTGAAGACTGGGGTTACAATATCTGCAAGAAATTGTGAACCCATGAAAGGTTCACTGTGCGCTGTCATACATCAGAAATGACTTGAAGAGACCCACACAAGCAATGCAGGGAAAGACAATGATGAAGTATAACCTTTCCCTCTTACTACAGTACAACTCCAGTATCTACAGAACCATTACCTGTGGTTTCATTTATCCATATCCAACAAAATCTGTCCTCTCTAGTCATTTTCTCAGTTCTCCAGTGTGACTTTGTGGTATTCTTGGGCCAGGAGCTCTTAATTTCAGTAGGGTTCACGTCATCCATGGCTTCATATACTCCCCCAAAGTTCAGGAGTATATTTCCCACAGTTACAGGGGCCATACTATACTATTGCCATGAAAAAAGCAGAAAATTCCAAGGTGTTTGATTCTGGAAGGGATATTACGTTGACGCAAATTACAGGTCAAACAATCCCTAACGTATAACTAAGATTCGTAACCAAATGGTAAATTTAATAGAAAAGAATGGCTTGTTCTTTGAGACCAACCTAATGTAATAATGCCCCTTTTGCTCTTTTGATTTCCTTTTATTATAAACTGAAATTAAAAATAAAATAAAGCAATAATTCAGAGTAATTAATTGCCAGATAAACAACATTTCTTATTGTAGTGAAAACTGAAGTAGTTTGCTTGAAGGAAGATGGTGGCTTGCTGGTTTGTGTGTGTGACTTCATTCTTGTTTTCCTTTTCTGTTATGATGTTATCCATATTTTATGATAGGACAAGATTCTAAAAGAGGTGAGCAAATAATCTGCATTGGGAAGTTCTCCAGCCATATGTATGCTAATTGGTTTATTTTGTAATCTTCCTGCTCTAGGCTTCTGTGACCCTCCAATGCTTTCATACTTTTGATTTTATTTATTTATTTATTTTGTGTCAAAAGCATTGCATAATATATGAATTTAAAACTGATAAAATAAAGGAATCACAAGCAACTAAACAGTTTTAGACCAAAAAAGAACAACAGTTCTTCCTCTGTGCATGAAGCAGGGCATTGTTGGCAAGCATACAGATGCTGAGTTGTTTGTTCTGCTCCACAGTCACACAAGGTGGAAAATACTTCTTGGTAGTGCAATTTTTCCAGATTGTCTTTTGATCTCCCAACATCACTTCTGAGACTGTTCAAGAACTTCCAAGTTGCCCATTCTTTGTTCGCCCTTGGACAAAGACCCTTGTGGGGTCCAACCAGTTGGAATTGCCTGATTTTGCTACCCACAGGGATATTCTTGCTGTTACTGGAGGCACATTTAGAGGAGTGTTGGTACTCCTGATACTATTCCTTGATTTAAGTCTATTGGGAGGAGGCTGATAGCCACACAGTGGGTGGCTTTCACAGTGTTCAACATTATTTCTCTTGCAATATGGTTGATAATAACGTTTTAAATGGATTCTAACCTAATGTTTTTATCTACTCTGTTATGTCATGTTGTATTGTGTTTTTGTATGTGTTTGGCATTGAATTGTTTCCATTGTAAGCCACCCTGAGTCCCCCCTCGAGGGTTGAGAAGGACGGGGTACAAATGTTTGAAATAATAATAATAATAATAATAATAATAATAATAATAATAATAATTGCAATTGGCAGAAACTTCTTGTCACATATCAGGAGAGGCAGCCTCCTCGAAGATGCAGTCGAGCATCCCCTGGGCAACATTTCTTGTAAATGGCTGATCTTTCCAACTGAAAAGCATTGCTTTACAACATACTTTTGATTCATGTAAAACAGTACCTAGATATCCTCCATTATCTATCAATTTCTCTGCATTTTCTGTAAAAATATTTTATTCCTTGTGAATTTGGGAAAGTTACTTCTTGTCCTCCATGGCTACTGGTGGCTAGATGATTTGGGGATGTGTACAAAATAAACATTTTCTTTCCTCTCCTTTCCTGCATGGAAAAATGTGAATTCTGCCACTACTAAATTGTGCAGCCTGTTATTTTGTAGGCCGAAGTCTGGAAAGCATTTTATAAAAGCAATTATAGTTTAAATCCCTAAAGGTAGATAGTTACTACTATAACATCGTCATAGTTACAGATTTTAAAAATATCTTTATTTTCCCGTTTCTTGAATGCAATGAAACAACTGCTGCCTTACGCTACAAAATACATTCTTCCTTATTGTCACCCCAACCCCCCTCCCCTGCAACACAAGCCATCACTTGGAGCCATCTGATATGAGAAACTAACAAGTAACAATTATGCCTCAAAAAGACCTCACATTATCTTTAGTTCAGGTCCAATTCTGGTATGTAGCCATGACTTTGTTATTTGAAAAGGGAACTAACTATAGCTGTCAAGGAACCTTAATATTTTGTTGCAAGGGGAGCTGGGTATTCCTGAGTTGTATGTAACAATAGTTAGTCCTTCCTACATTTATTGATTCAAGCAACTGCAGCTTTAAAATATTTGGAAAAACTTTCAAAAGGCAAACCTTGATTTTGCCTCACACCAAGCACTATGCTGATATGCAAGCATACTCTGCGGCAGCTTCCTGCTCTTTCACAGACCCTAAGTCTCTCTTTAGCACCCATTGTGAGTGGCTTGACATTTTATATAAAGGACACAATTTCATTATCTCTTTTATATAATGAGACTTGAGCATCCATGGTTTTTTGGTAGCCATGGAGCGTCCTGGAACCAAACTAAAATGGATACCGAGGACCTACTGTATCATGTTGTATCACAATGTAGTCAAATCAAGTTAACTGTATTTATACCCCATCCCATCTCCCCGTGGGGACTCAGAGAGGCTTACAACATAAATGGCAGCCATTGGACGCCATACAACACACAGTGAAAATACAAATACATATTAAATTAAATGCAGATAATTTATCTTAATTAAATATGAAAACAAATAAACATACATAACAACAATGTACCAGATCCACCTGCTTTGTAACAGGGGGGAAACTTGGGAATACTTCCAGATGAGTCAAAGGAGATTATATTAATCAAGAAAACATAAGTAAGGAGGAAAGCTGGACCAAGCTAGTTTGTTGCTGGAGGCAACAGAGTAAATGATCCACATTCCTACCCTTGTTTATATATAAATCAAAAGCCACTAGGTTATTCTGGCATCAGAGGCAGAAAATTCCATCTTTGGTGGGGGAAAATGTAGGAAAATGTAAGCAGGAAAATAATGATTTATTGTTTTTCCCTGATTCCTAAAACCTACTGCCTTCACTCTCTGAATAGACAGAACTGGACTTATCTTGTACAAATCTGTTTTGGTTGACCTTCTGTGCTTTAGTGACTGAGGAGCATTCATGTAGGAAAGCAGAAGAGGCTAGGGTCTTACTTAAGAATTTGTTCCTCCTAAAGAGTTGGTCATCTCTCACCATATTGCTGGTTCTTTCCACCATAGGTGCACCAGCAGCTCGTCACTTTGCCTTTTTTTCTCCTTATTCCCACTAAAGGACCAAGCCCATTATTAAACAGGAAAGTGGGCGTGTTTTGCAATCTCCCAAAAAAGATCCATCACTATAACACATGTCCACCCCCACCCTGAACCGTTCTCATCCATCTTGCTCTATTTCAGTCTTTCTGAGGAGCCCATCACCATGGCATCAGAGCACTGAAGCAGCCTCCACAAGCAGCCTGCTTTAGATATATCCTGCCCTGGCTCAAAAATAGCTCTATGCTGTTCTACAAAAAACACTTTCTCCTTCTTCTCTTGCTACTCTTATACTCCCATCAATCTTCACATTTCTTTTTCGACCCAATCCTGCCACTACTGCAAGTTGTCACAAGGCAGCAAAGGAGAGCATGTTTTCATTTTAAGACTGACAGTGACTGAAATTAACTCATCAACGTTTTGACATCAGGTTGAGCATCTTTGTGAAAATGGATATTTATTATATACTTCGCATGAAATCTATTTCATATTTTGGAAAAGTAATGTTAAGAAGAATGATGATATTAATCATAGCTAGGCCAGAACCATGGAGAACTGCAGTCTAGGAACATGTGGAGGGCCACGTGCTCTCCATCTTTGGCAAATACTCAGAAAACATGGAACCTAGACATCTGGCTCCAAAGCTACCTAATATTTAGTACAATTACAAAATAGAAAATATACTGAATGTGGAATTTTTTGAAGTTTGAAATAAAGTAGAGTTGTATGCAGGGAGCGTACAAAGGAGTTGCACACAGACAGTGTACAACTCTTCTGTTGCAACAGCTCCACTGGCTGCCAACATGTTTCCAGGCACAATTTAAAGTGCTGTTTTTGACATACAGAACCCCATAATGGCTCTGGTTCAGGCTATCTGATGTACCTTATCTCTTTCTATGAACCTGGTAGACATCTACAATCTACTGGAGAAGGCCTTCTCTCTGTCCCACCACCCACTCAAGCATGTTTGGTGGGAACACGGAAGAGGGACTTTTCGGTGACTGCATCCAAATTGCAGAACTCTCTCCTAAGGGAGACCAGGATGGCCCCATCCCTGCTGGCCTTCCACAAGCAGGTTAAGATCTTCTTCTGCCAGCAGGCATTTGGGGAAGAATAAGGGGCATGTTGCTGGGGAAGCGTGGGTGTGATTTGGGGAAGTGCTGTGAGTTTTAAAGGCTATTTTAAATACATTAATTATATTTCACTCTGTTTTTTATCTTAATCCACACTGTACTATTTAATTGTTGTTGTTTTTTTCATTTTTGTATTGTGCACTTAAAACAATGAACTAAGTGTGGAATTGTTAGCTGCCTTGAGCCCCCACAGGGAGAAAGGCAGGATATAAATAAAAATAATAATAGTAATAATAATAATATTTGCTAGCTTTATTTTGTTTTTATATCTTGATTTTTATTTTAGGAGTTTTGATTTCCTGTAATTTTTACAGGGAGCTTGGGACCTTAAAAATGATCAACACTTGTGAAAACTGAGTCCTCCAAGAATTCTTTGAAATTTCTCAGCAAGAGGACACACATAAAGATTACTGTGTTTCCATTTAGATATCTTATGTTAACCCTTCAAAACGATCATCTTGTTAAACAAGTAGTGTCCAGAATCTTTTTTTTTTTGCCTGCTATCTCTGGTCAATATTTTTTATTTCAACTGCAAATATTTTTCATCAATAATTATCTTTGTTTCCCTGAAGGTGTTAGACATGATTTTTTTTTTAGTTGAACGTCTTAAAAATTGTCTTTTGTTGCTTATATTCCCTTCTTTCTTTTGTGGCAGAAAAAAGAAATCCTTGCTCCACTAGGAAGTAGAACTTTATGTCAAGTTGACTTTCATTTGTGGTTAACCCCATGAATGAGAGACCCTCAAGTTTCAGTATCCTCAACAGCCCTGCTCAGGTATTCCAGACTCAGGACCATGGCTTCCTCAATTGAGCCTATCCATCTGGAATGCAGACTTCTTCTTTTCCTACTATCTTCTTTCCTGTTGAGCACTGTTGTTCTGTCTAGTGAATGATGTCTTATCATAACAGCCTCAGTTTAGTTGGGCTGAAGGTTTTGTTAGAGAGCAGGGCTTCTTATATTTTTCCACTCATGATCTGTTTCTGACCTATAAATTTTTGACCCCAGGTATACAGGTATATAAATCAGCATCTGCAAGACTTGCTGAA